GTTACTAGTGGTTACTAGTGGTTACTAGTGGTTACTAGTGGTTACTAGTGGTTACTAGTGGTTACTAGTGGTTACTAGTGGTTCCTAGTGGTTCCTAGTGGTTACTAGTGGTTCCTAGTGGTTCCTAGTGGTTCCTAGTGGTTCCTAGTGGTTCCTAGTGGTTCCTAGTGGTTCCTAGTGGTTCCTAGTGGTTCCTAGTGGTTCCTAGTGGTTCCTAGTGGTTCCTAGTGGTTCCTAGTGGTTCCTAGTGGTTCCTAGTGGTTCATAGTGGTTCCTAGTGGTTCCTAGTGGTTCCTAGTGGTTCCTAGTGGTTCCTAGTGGTTCCTAGTGGTTCCTAGTGGTTCCTAGTGGTTACTAGTGGTTACTAGTGGTTACTAGTGGTTACTAGTGGTTACTAGTGGTTACTAGTGGTTACTAGTGGTTACTAGTGGTTACTAGTGGTTACTAGTGGTTACTAGTGGTTACTAGTGGTTACTAGTGGTTACTAGTGGTTAATAGTGGTTAATAGTGGTTAATAGTGGTTAATAGTGGTTAATAATGGTTGATAATGATAATCAATGATTAATATACTGCTTGGTGTTTTGGAACATGGCTTTTTTTTTTCCGTTTCATATATGGGATGGAATGGAATAATCTTTCCCATTGACGAACTCCATCATTTTTCCAGATGGTTATTACACCACCAACCAGCTATTTTTTTTTCATTTATCCTCACCATTTTTATAGGTGGTATGGTTACCATTTTAATAATCATTAACCACTAGTTGTTGCCATCATTTACCGTTTGCAAAGATTGGGGCTTCATTGGGGCTTCAACCACCAACTTTTGAGAACTGGTGATTCGCCGGCGTTCATTTTTGGAAAGGCGTGGGGAAGCATCCCATTTTGGAACGAACTTTCAGGTTGATGAGTGATTAGAATTACATACTGTAGCCATATAGAGGGATAGCAGTTATTCCTGAGCAAAGAATTTTAGGGCTAGTCAGGGTAATCTGTATATTGGGGCTTAACTTTAGGTGATCTAAGGCAGCTAAACCGCTCCTACAAACGGATATCACACTCATTCATTAGGGAATTAAGCCATAAAAACTATAATCATCCCGAAGTCGCAAAGATATTCTCATTTTAGTGAGGACTTTTTAAAAAACTCCATATTCTATCTACTTCAGGATGACTATAGTACAAGCAAGGGCCCCTAGTAATAGGTCAGTTGCTTCATTGTCCTACCGAATGTTGCGCTGAGGTTTGGTCGTGTCTAGTTTGGACCTCAGGGCTGTGACCTGGTTGTTTGGGTGTTATATGCACATATATATATATATGTAATATACTATACACATATGTATGATGTATTTATACATACATACAGCATACATATATATATATACATTCACATGAATGCATGCATGCATGCATGCATGCAGACAGACAGACAGACAGACAGACAGACAGACAGAAAAAAACATATACATACATTATACATATATGTATGATTATGTATGTATATATATATATGTATAAGCATCTCATTCCATGCCAATTCCTGTGGATTGTGTCGGCGCTGCATCCCTTCGAAAAAATGATATTCCACTGATTGGACACCCAACGCCCCGTGATGCGTTTTCATCCGCCCTGACGAGACCTCCAAGTTAGGAGCTTACTAGGCCGTTGCTGTTGCGGACCAGATCTCTGAAGCATCTTGATGAATCCGAATACAGTAATTGGTCAGCTCCCCATTTTGATCTGCTAAATTCGATGTCTTTGGTGGATGAACTCCAATCCTCCTTGTATGAATTCCCCTCCACATCTTTTAAACAGTTTTTTTTTCTTCCATCCCAAACATGTCTTCTTTTCTTTCAAAACAATCCGGGGTTTTTCTCAACCAAATCCACAAACAAATCCCAGGTTTTTCGCTTTGTCATACGCCAAATCCCAGGTTTTTCTTGCTTCAGGTCACCTGCTGTTTGAAGGCTCGCGACCTGAGTCGCGCGGTAGGGGCCTCAGAGACGAGTTGAGTCAACGAATTCCTTCCCAGAACCATCTTCGAGCACCCCCTCCAGTCACAGATGCTGAGAATACCTTGGAAACCTCGAAATTTCGGAGGACACATCATCTTTTTCACATCCTGGAAATCCGTTTCGCTCTTTTTGGGGGTTACTAATCCCTTTGCCCGTTGATATTAAACACCCCACAGAAACCCTGGTTGCTTGTTGGATGAAACCACATATCTTTGACTCATAGAATGGAGGTGTTTAGTATGAATGCTGCATGGGATTCGTATTCAACAAAAAAAACATGTTCCCGGAGATTTCAAATTTATGAGCAGAATCCAGAAAATGAGCAGCCTGCAGCCTGCAGCTGCAAAAAGACCCCTTCGACATCCGAGAAACGGTTGATGATTGGGATGGGGTTGTCCCAAAATTTCTCGGAGAAACCTATGTGGTATATATATATATACATGATATATATATATATACATGATATATATATATACATTATATATATATATATATGTATATATACATACATTATATATACATACATATATATACATATATATACATACATATATATACCATATATATACCATATATCAATAATATGTATTTCTACAGTATATGACTGTAATGTACATCAGGTGCTTTCCTTGGAATACTTGGACAACGACGGCGCCTCCCTGGGGACAGCGGGGGACAGCGGGCTCCGTGGTTCCGGGCGCTTCGTCGTTGGCGTGGTTTGCCACAGGAAAAGCGTAGGAAAACCATGGGAAAACCATGGGAAAACCATGGGAAAACGCCGATTGAACCAAGAAACATGGGGGATTTCCATGGATTTTATGGCTGATTGATGAAAGCTAAGTTGACGCACATCGCTTGGATAATGGGTTTATGGAGGATATAACTAACTGGTGGTTTCTGGTCGTTTCTAGTCATGGTAAGGGTGGTTAAAATCCATGGTTAATGGAAGATTCTCAACCAAACTTGCAAATGATGGCATTTTGATGTGAACATCAAAACATTGGTAAACCAAGATCTATCATTATCTACCATCTAGTTTGGTTGTTAACCATTATCTATCATTGCCATTAACCATTATCTACCATTATCTATCAACATTTCGAGGATAATCATTTGCTACCAATAGCAGTTGTTAAGAATTATTACTTTTGGCACACTGGCTAATAATCCAGAATAGTAGTGGTTAGTAATAATGGTTAGTGATGGTTCGGTCAATGTTTGTTGATTCTTGTTCAAAACCCCTGGTTGATGATTAGTCCGGGTATTACACAACCCTTTAAACTCATTTTGGACACTCGGAATCTATGAAGTGGGCATGTCCTTCTTAACCAGGCGGACTGAGGTTTTGAGCTCTGCTCAAAATGGGATTCTGTGTGCATCATCTCCTCTCATTGTTGAGGCTTATCTCCCCAATGTTTCTTCTTGGCAATTTCCCGACTTGCTCACATCTCCAGTTCTTCTTGGCAGTCAGCATCCCTATTCTTTGGAGCTGATCTAATGATTTTTCTTCATGATGTCTTGTCTCTTCTCATTTGGTGGGACGTATGGAAACTTAGACGAACCCTGGATATTTACCTATCAAATGTTGGCCTTCCGAACTTCCTTCAACATCGTCCACTTTTCTCCGGATGAACATCACCATTTCTGGTCCAACCTCAGAATTTTGCTTCGATCAAAAAATCCGACCTATCTTTTGATGATCACCATGGCCTTCCCCAGTCAATCCCATTGTTTTTTTACAAACAGGACCGGGCGGATCTCCATGTACGCTGCGGTCATTGAGAGTTGTATCACCTCTGGCGAGGCCTCGAAATGCCTCGGTGGTTTCCTATGCGGCTACCCCAAGTCACCATGGGTTTCAATAACTCAAATGGTCGAATGAATTGGATGATTTGGGGTACCACTATTGGTATATATATATACATATAGACATATATATATAGACATATATATATAGACATATATATATATATAGACATATATATATAGACATATATATATGGACATACATATATATATATAGACATATATATATAGACATATATATATATAGACATATATATAGAGACATATATATATATAGACATATATATATATAGACATATATATATAGACATATATATAGACATATATATATAGACATATATATATAGACATATATATATAGACATATATATATATAGACATATATATATAGACATATATATAGAGACATATATATATAGACATATATATATAGACATATATATATATATAGACATATACATATATATATAGACACATATATATATATACACATCAATATACGTATATACACATAAATGATATATACATTGGATTGGATTTTACTTTCCTGCATCTTTTTCTCAGGGTTGCCAACAAATACCTTGTGAATGCTTCGAAACATCTTGACCATATCACCCAAACATCTTTTCAACATATTTTTGAATCAAGGTTTTCACCAATAAAAATGCGGATAAACATGAGAAAAATGAGGATGTACTGATGTACCTGTCAAAGATGTCTTAAGGAACCAAAAAGACATGTTGATCAAATCCCTTCCCCCAAAATGACAAGCCAGCAGAAAGCCTGGTGCTGTACCAGGCTGCCATGTGGCTTCGAAACAGCAAATCATACTGTACGGAATTCTGTCTGAATGATAAAAACCATCGGTTTCCTTGCGTAACAACTCGAAGGGAAAATTTAGTTCTGGATTGTAAAAACAAAACCACAGTTTTCCATGCAGATTGTTTCATTGTTTGGATGGTACACAAGCACGGTTTCTCCCCAAAAACCCTGACTTCAAAAATGGTCATTTTCAATAGCTTTTTGTATGTTTACCAGGCCGGGTAACTATTGACCATTAATAATAGATTATCCATAAATTTAACCATAGATTAACCATAGATTTACCATTTATAGATGGTTTACCCAGCCATAAACTTACCATTATGAGATGAACCATGAGATCCGCTTAAGAATTCCAGCACCTGCAAAGAAGCCTCCGCTGCTGTCACGAAATTCAGGTGACCACGGCCTTGCAGATGGTCGATTGGGCCTACACGAGAGCTCCTCCCGAGGATGTTCCTTGGCGACGGCCTGTTGTTTCATGTTGTTTCGGAAGATACCCCAAAGGAGTGAGATTTTCCAACAGAAACGCTTTTCATGTACCGAAACATACCGAAAGCTTAGTTTTATGTTTGAATGGTTTCGGATGTGGATTTGGGAGAGCAAACTGCTGGGGCAGTTTAGCTGGGAGTACAAGTTCACAAAGCAAATATTTGGGATGCTAGCTACAAAACATGGGGTGTGAAGAAAAACAACCATGGCATCCAGGAAACCCAGAGATTTTTTTTTTGCGTATTTCATCGCATTTATGATCCAATCATTTCTGGGGTAGCTCAGTTTGATCGGCATTTGGGGTTTCAAATGGGTTGAGACATCAGGTTGAAGCATTCATGTGTCATTGACCAGAGCTATTGGAACACATGTATTTCCCAAGTCGGCTGCATGTTGGAAGCTGCTTCTAATTTTTCAGGAAACCAGGTGAGGACCCCCCAAACCTCTCTTGATCCATGTTAAGGCTTATGGAATATTTGCCAATCAAGATGGAATTCACAACAGACTTGAGGGTAAAAAACATGGGTGGTAGCCAATACTAGGTCAACCTTGGATGGGTAGTTTAATTCTTTAATCTTTTGCCATAGGAATATCTTGTAACCCGCTAACAAAAACATGCAGGCTATCCAAGATTGGCAATCAATAGATTCGTCTAACAGGGGTTGGTAACTGTCCCATTTTGGGAATATTGGACATCACCTAAAACAGTAGCCATTATAGACCATATACCATTCATGGTTGGGTGATGTGACCCATGGGGACATCAGTCATGACCCATGAAAGATTCCGAACGAGAACTGGTTGGGGAAGCCAAACAGCAAGGCACGCACGGGTCTCTCCATGGATTTGCTGAAGCGGGTCTTTGACAGCGCCGTCTACCGGGGGGCCGAGGCGAGAGTGCGACTTCTGTGGATCCTCCAAGTCTTAACCACACAAGGAGGCTATGATATCTATGTGAATACATGCTATATATATAATTATACATATACATGCAATATGTGTATATATATACATGATATATATATATACACATACACCATCCCGTTTGTAGGGGTGCACCCAGATTCATGAACCATAATCATTCGAATGGTGACAGAAAATGTTGTGGATCTCCATAGGGTACAGATGGAGCTTGTGCAGCTGCAAAGATGGACTGAAGATGGAGATCACCAGAATTTCTGGCAGCTTTGGGGTGATGATTCACCAGTGATCTCTGGAGCCAAAAGCTCGAATTCAAGGGCCCCGAAATTCAGAAGCCGTGCCTTGAAGGGGTGGAACTCCTAGCTCCCAAAAATCTGGTTCTATTGGGCGGATTTCCCAGTTAGGCACCTTGCAGTTAGGGTAAATGCCATATTTTTTCAGAAAGGCTTGTTGCCAGCGCTGAAATCACCAATTCTTTGTTTTAAACATCCTATTTGATGACCATTTCCCAAAGGATACACCTAAGTCCCTCATAATTAAAATAGGATGTTTAATCAAAAAGTGGATTTTTCTTGGAATGCCATATTTTTTTTTAGAGCGTTTGGAACATGAGGAAAGCCTACTTTCCAGTGGCAAAAAGCCCCTCTAAGTCCCAAGTTTTTTGGTGGAACCCACTGGAGATGAAGCCAGGCGGAGGCGCAGAATGTGCTGGATGCCATCGGACTTCGAGTGGGAGATCATGTGGCCAGATGTGGAGATTTGGAGATCATGGAGCTGGGGGATATGGATATATATGTATATATATAGACTGTGTATATATATATATATATTATAATATTTACTATAATATAATATAATGTAATATAATCTATATAATATAATATATTTAATATAGTTAAATACACTATAATATCAAATAGTATAAGATAAGATAATATAATTTAATATTCATATAATCCAATATAGTATAATATAATATCATAGAATATATAGTATATAATGTAAACCATAATATATAATATATAATGTAATAAATAGTAGAACATATAATAGAACATATAATAGAACATGTAATAGAAAATATCATAGAAAATATAATATAGTAGAAAATATAAGATAATAGAAAATATAATAAAATAAATCATATAATATAATAGAAAATATAATATAATAGAACATAAAATATAATATCACATATAATATAATAGAAACTATAATATAATAGAACATATAATATAATAGAAACTATAATATAATAGAAGCTATAATGTAATAGAAATTGCAATCGAAATATAATAGAAATATTCATAGAAAAGACAATAGAAAATGTAATAGAACATATAACATATAATTTACTATAATACAATATAATATAATATGATATAATATAATGTGATATAATATAATACGATATAATATGATATAATATAATATAGTATAAACTAGTATAATATAATATAGTATAACATAATATAATATAATATAACATAATATAATATAATAGAATAGAATAGAATAGAATATAATATTGAAATATAAAATAATATATAATATTAAAATATAATATAATATAATATAACATAATATAATATAATATAATTTAACATAATATAATATAATATAATATAATAAATATATACATGTATAGAGGGGGAATGTTCCCCAGAGGTATGGGTTTTTATGAAAGGATGCTATTGGTTTCATTGACTTCATTGTTATTGTGTTTCATGTTACTCTTATTTCTAGCCTCTGACCTGATCTGGGGAAATTCCTTGCAGGATTCCTCCCGGAAACAGCGAGCTGCACTACCAGAACTATTGCGAATTTGATGAACAAAGCTATAGGAAACCACCAGATTACCAGATTTGGGGATAACTACCATGATGTTCTGTAGAATTTTGCTCAAATCAATCTAGTGACGTTGATATCGCCCTCGAAATCAACCATACATTCTAAATCATCTCACTATTTCTTGACAAGCAGATACAAGTTTTATGTGTATATATATATCCAGAGAACATGAAATTGAAAACATATCTGTCATAAAGATAGGATCAATATGAAAAAAGGATCATGTCAAAAAATAGAATCAATCGCCGAGCCATATTATCCATATTATCAAAGCAATCAATAGCCATACTACCAATCAGAAATATACAACAATATGACCAATGCTATAAGAGCTTATAGGAAAAGTTGATATGATAATAGTGTAAGACTAGTGCAATATTACCATATTATATAAATCCAATGGGCCATAAATTACTATTATCCATATCATTGATTAATCATATATATATATCAATTATATTATCAAATAATGTGGCTTAGCACAAAATCGATTAGTTGATGATTGAATATTATCCACTGCTTATCGAAAATCTATCAATCACCATTTGCCATGACTATTATCAAATAATTTACTATGGACTATTATTGACAAGTGACTATTGCCATCTTCTATTATCCTATGTTGAACCTATCAATCGCGATGACCATTATTGCGTATTATGGAATACCCCATATTACGTGGCTTGTTTCACATCAATATCATAGCTTTATCAATCAACATCACTACATCATTATATTGATTGTTGAACCATAAATCAACCAATTAGAATAATAAACATATGGATTAATCATATCATTGACACATTAATATTACCATGACTATGATCACCAATTATAATGAACACGCTATTAGATTATTCACATACTATCTAATCCAACAATGATTCTTGAATATTAGATGATTCATATCTGATCCAATATGATAATATCATCTAGTATTCTAATCCAATTATGATGATATATAATCATAAACAGAATAGCAGATGATACTATCCAATATTATCAGAATATTAATCTATTGGAGAATCACTATAAACTATTCATTGTAGATTAATATTATATGTGATAGATTAGCCAATACATATTAATGATTATAATTGTTACTATTCATACTATTTATCTGGGCATTTTTTTAACGACTTCACTGCGACCTCACTGGAATCATGGTGAATGTATATGGGAATCATCCCAAAATGGCCGAAACTTTCAGGTTAGTGAAATATTATCATTTACCCAGAAGAATGGGGGAACATCCTTTTTGTTTTCCAGAAAGAATGGGTTGAGGCGTGAATGTGGGGAGAAGGTTTTTTTTTTTTGTAGCAATTATAGCAATTATGTGGTTTTGATGTGGATATCATGGTGATCTTTGGGATTTGACCCACAAACATTTGGGGATTTAATCATAGTCATAATGATTCTATTGATTCTTGAACCTCAGGTCCGAAACGCCTTGCAAGACACGCTGACCACTCGCCGTTCGCCGGGGCCACCGGGGCCACTGGGATCAAATGATGAACATAGGAAGATTGTGACGATAAGACCATTGAACATTGGGTTAATTCCATTATATTCCATTGTTTTGTCAACATTTTTCTGAATTTTCCTGTAAACAATTACCATACATGGGCTTTTATCCATTTCTTTAGCCGGCTCAAAGCTAGCAGCGCTGGGAAGTCTGGTTGGTGATTTGATCGTTCGATCAAATCGGATGAGTTGGGTGTTTCGGGGTTACTCTCTGGTAATTTGTTACAGTTTGCGAACTTGAAGCCATGGCCCATTTTTGATGTTGATGTTACGGAACTTAAAGATGGTGGATTTTCCATAGCAAACTGTTAGTTTACCAGGTAAAACTTGGGTTTACGGGTAGGGCTAGCGGCAAAAGATAAGAAACAAACCAGACACCCAAGATGGGCATCCTGTGAATCTTTTTGTAATGTGGTATATAAACCCAATGCCATACGCTTTGGATTATCATCTCCATTAAGATGAAGATTTAGAGGGTATATATGAGGTATATATATACATGATCTAGCCAATTTTCAGACACACCCATTGGGTTTGAGGTATTTTTCAGCTTGAAACAGGATCATATGGAGCTGACTTCCAGTTCTGTTCCAAGGTCGCGAGCTGATGAATCGGCTTACAAAGGACAGCGACAGTTGAGGGCTGGTGATTGGGCCGGTTTATTATTATCATTATCACTATTATTATAAACAACACTCCTAATGATATTATCACTATTATTATCATTATCACTATTATTATTATCATTATCATCAATAACCAATAGTGATAACAACACTCCTAATGATACCTAATTCATCAATAATTCATTATCACTATTATTCATCAATAATGATACTAAGAATACCGAATAGTAATAAGAAGAGTGATAACAACACTCCTAATGGAGGTTTCCTAAAATGGGGGGGGGTACCCCTAAATCATCCATTTTTTATTGGATTTTCCATGAAATAAATCATCCAGCTGTTGGGGATTCCCCATTTATGGAAACCTCCAAATAGTTGGGTCGCTCTTCAGCCCTAGGGCGCACAGCTAGGTTTCAACCATAGGAATGGAATGGTGATTCCCAGTAACGAGCAAGCACATTGTTGAGGGTTGAAACAGAAAGCACCAACGAGGCGGACGACATCATCATCATCAGAATAATAATAATCATCATCATCATCCCCATATACATGCCATTTTTTCGGTACAATTTCAGACACATGTATATCCTCAATTCTGTTGGTGAATTGGCCATATTGCCATCTTGGTTGCAATCTTCTTTACATTTTCACACGAAATTTTTCGTGGGTACATTTTCCGCAACCAATGAGATCAACATCTTTCCTGGCGAACCAGTCATATCCAGTCACTATCTACCCTCTGGTAATTTAACATAGCTATTGAAAATGGCCATTTATGGTGAGTTTTCCCATTAATAGCATGGTGATTTTCCATAGTCATGTAAACGTTTACCAGAGGGTACTACCAGTTGACCTTAATCAAACCAGACTCCACCATTACCCCAACAACTCCCTTGAAATTTCCTCTGATGTACGGGATGTTGTAGCTGTCATAGAGGTCATCGTTTGGAAAAAAAAATTGTCTTCGGACCTGGTATGAACCATAGCATTTTCATAAGACCTTCAATTCTAGATTCGAATCCAATGAAATCCCTCCAAATTCCCCTCGAATCCCATACAAATCCCATTAAATCACATTCAAATCCCATTGAAATCCCAGTAAATCCCATTAAATCCCATTAAATGCCAATTTCAAATCAAATTTTTCATCTTTGGGGATCGAAACCACACCAGTTGATCTCCACATGGCAGTTTCCATAAGATGTTCGACGCGTGACTGACCTAACCAAGAGGATCTAAGAGTCAGTTTGAAATTGTTTGTCAAATCGACTTAATAGTAAAGACATAAATAAGCTTCATAAATGAAGAATCTTGAATGCATATATACATATACATATGATATATGTATGTATATGTATATGTACACTACATATATATATATAATATACATACACTGTATATATGTACATAAATATGTACAATATATGTGTAAACATCCCCAGTTGCACCAGTTGTATCAAGCGCTATCTTGGAGGAGCCTCCAAGATCCAGGCGGTCCAGGCGCTTTTTTTCGCCGTAGCGAGTCATGGGGCTTTCCTAAACTGGGAATAGCCCAATAGCTGGATGGTTTATTTCATGGACAATCCCAATCTAATAGCTGGATGATTTGGAGGTACCACAATTTAGGACACCTCCATATAATGGTGATTTACAGGTACTACAATGGCTAGTGGTTCATATACTGTATATATATAATGGTTAATGGTTATGAATGGTAAATGGCCATGAAATGGAACCGATTTATTGAAGGTACCTACCATAAGGTCTATTTTTTAGGGCTATATTATATGATAGCTATATGGGAATATCTCCAGAAAATATGGTTAAACCATCCATAAACCAACTTTTTTTTGGTTTAAACCATCCATAAAAATGGTGAATTTGGGGATGGTAACTATCGCTTGACACACTTTGTAAACGTCTACAGGAGGGTATAATAAATGTATAGTGGTAAGGGTGTAAGGATTGTACTACCTGGAAAGTGAGTGGGTTATACTAAGCTACAGCATCATTGATCAGAATTATGTAATATAGGTAGGATAAACAGTAGGACTAACCATGCTTGTTGGACGCGCAGCATCAAGTGAGTGTGCAACTTCACATGATTGTTATTAGCTGCATCCCATCCACCCTACATGAAGTGACTAGAGTTACAGAATTCGTTCAACCGTAAATGACCAAACCGTACATTTCCTCTATCCTTACGTTTATATATTCACATGTGTACATATACACACATATATATATATACACATATTTAATACCCGCCAAAAGATGCAGAAAAGTAAAACTTTTCACTATTTCAGGACAGTCTTTTTTTAAAACCACATTCTATCTTTTTCGTGGCTTACTATATCTATATTTATATATCTATATCTATATATATATATATCTACTATATTTACTTTATCCATAGATGTGGTATCATAACAGATGACCATTTTGGGCTAAGCCGGCGCCCGAGGACCACAGGGACCACAGGGACCACAGGGACCATAGGGACCACAGTTGGTCAGCAAGGTGCGGACTGGGTGAACGTGGTCCGTTTCGTCTCCAGAAAGTGACGTGACTTAGGGAAATAACTGTTGTCTAACTGAAGGTGAATAACCATAATAAGTATTATATAATTGTTTTGAATTTTATAATAATATCATATAAGGATATGTGTTTTCTTTTTGGGGAAGATGATAATGGCAAATGTGGACGCTATTGGGATAATTATATATATATATATTGATTATATGGGATACATTGGGGAAGATGATAATGGCAAATGTGGACGCTATTGGGATAATTATATATATTGATTATATGGGATACATGACCAACCCGATAGATCTATGTTGGTTTATGAAGCTTATAACTCATCTAGCCATCAATTGGGGATGTTTTTTTTTTTTTCCGGAGAAATGTGTATGTAAACAGCAAGAAAATGGATGTGACATGTTAACTAAGAACAACTATGGATGTTTCACACAATTTTTCAGAACTTACAGTATGTTACAGCACATTTTCAGAGAAACCCAAGTGATTGGGGCTTACACGACTCAGATTTTCATGGGTTTTGATCTATCTCTGTAGCACCGGTGAGGCTCGGTCAGTTGCTACAAGGGTAAAAAACCACCTGGTTGATCTGAGATTATGGACTGACCAAGGATGGGTTTTCCTGGAATCCCCAGCGGGAGGGGATGACAGACATTGGGCTTTTGACAACTGCTCTGCCCTTGTTTTCACAGCACAACACTGAGTTGCTTAAGCTCTGTCCCCTTGGCTGGAGATCAAATGTTGAGACTGAAATACGATTGACCATCTGGGCGCTGGTCATGTAGCGACCATCCAAACCCCTAATATCAGTTGAAATGGGGAGAAATTTGGGTTCTTTTCGGATCACCCTGCAGGAGGTTGAGAAATCACCACTGTGAAAAACCACTCTGAAGGAGCACCAAACATATGATATGAATCACCGTTAAAAAACCCTCCTCTGAACTGCGGAACTGGAATTCATTTGACCATGAAGATTTCAAGACATTTCAACAGATTTCAAGTGTAAACCATGGGACATCTCCGACATCGACATCTCAGGCCTTGGGATTCATCCTTCTCCTCGGAACCGCGCTTTGAGGCGATTGGTGATGAATGTTTGTTTCCCAATGGAAACACCATGGGAAAATCGGATGGGGGTTGGTGACTGTTGGCGTTTTTTTTTTCCAAATTGAAAATCCAAGCATTTTTAAGGGGAATCGAACCCGGGACGAGTTTCAATCGATATTTTTTGGGGACAGTTTCGATCCCAGAGTGGAGATGAGTTTACGGCTTTCGATCTTCTTTTGGGGCTGCGAAAGACAACTTCAGATTTTTCGTTGTACTTCTCTTTTTTTTATCATAAGAATGGTTATAGTATACAATTTCAAGAATTTGCCATGGAGAGCAATGTTTACCCCTTGGTATAGGTGACTATTGTTTAACGTAGCCATGGACAATTTGCTATTTGTAGATGATGTATCCATTAAACATTGCAGTTTTCCACGGCTATGCATGATTGCCTGACGGTATCCTGTGAAAAGTTGAGTAGTAACTCAAGTTGAGAGTAACTGCAAACTGCACAGCCTGTTGGATAATTCCCAACAGCGAATCTGTTGGGTTTCAATCTCTGGGGCCGGGGGTGACACGTAGCCATGCACGCCCCGAAAAAGCGGAACCGTCCTCCGTCGCCTTGCTGGTACCAGGAAAACCGACTTAGAAATAGAGTGGATGGAAGAAATCCTGCACCTGGGATGGTAGAAAGCCTATAAATAATGGGATAAACAACCATTTTTTTCGGTGCAGGATTTCTTCCATCCACAGTAGGAGTGTGCAATCTTTTACCAGCTGGATCTATCTGAAATTGGTGGAGCGACTAGCCTGGAGACACGGAGACCAGTTGCACTCCAGGACAAAAAGGATGCCAACAAGAACTGCCTGATATCAGACATTAATCCCTGCAATGGTTATATAATCTTATATATGTACATGCATGTATATACTATATATATATGCACATATGTATATTTCAACCTTGAAACTGAAGTTATTAAGATTATTTTTACTGTTCTCATTCTTATTTTTACGATACGTTTTCTACATATGGAAAATCGGTCTGAAGCCTTAGCTTTCGACGTCCAGGCCTACGGTGGAACGTGTGATTCTCAGTGGCGCCAGGTGATGTCAACGGAGATATCTGAGATGGGATGGACTCAAATGGCACAGATTTCACTAACCATGGTGAACCACATATTGGTGAATATAATTATTGTTGAGTATGATTGGTGAATATTAACCAATTTTGTTAACCCAGTTATTGGATATTCAATAACTATGATTGGTGAACCAGAATTGATCACCAATTCAGTTTAAACTTAAACACCATAACTGCAATAATCATATGCCAATCGCATTTCGTGATTTTCCAGCCCAGGAGTGACCCATGGGATAGCAGCGCTGCTAGCTATTGGCTCGGACAC